ACTAGCTGCAAAGATTCTCCCCAAGAGAAAGTCCAAGAAAAAGGTGAACGCAATCCAAGCCTAGACTAAACTTCTTTCTATTTTAGAAGCTGAGCATGAGAAGAACCTGAAGCTGGTGGAAAAGGACAAGCGATGGAGCGAAGCAAAGCTGAAGAAGAAAATCAGTCCCCGCTTGATTATCAGCGTCAGCATCAGCGGACGTTCAAAAGAGGGTGGAACGCTGGTCTCAATGCTCATCACCGGGGACAATCTCGATGCCATCATCGAGTACCCTTCCTACCTTGGCCGTTATGGATACAACAAATGGATGGAGATCAGGCAAGCCATTCAGCGATCCAAGTCATGACAGAAGGAGATTATCGAGGACACCATCAGCGATCTCATCAAACGGATGTCCAGGTATGTCGCAGTCCCTGACAGGCTATCTCTGAAGAAAGGTGGGAGGAAGAAACTCAAGCGCTCTGATACTAATGATGGACCATTCCTAAGGAACGAACATGAGACAAGGTTCTCCTTAAATGAAGTCCTAAAGGGTCATCAGAGTATAGACATTTCTATGCTGAATCTTGACTTACCAGATAAGGGTCCCTATACACCCAATGCTGTGCATTTCAAACCTGAGTTAGGAGTTATATTCCTTGATTATGAAGGTGAAGTCAGATTTCAGAGAATGTCAAAGCTACATCTATGTCCAATGGGTCATTTGGTTTACCTCTTGCTCTGGATAGATGATAGCATGCCTGGAAAAGTCATTGATCTGAAAATACGAAGGGAATGCCTACGTTGAAGAAACCTTGGTGAAGATGTACCTAGGTACATAGATCTAAGTGTTCTAGAATAGTTTCTCTTTGTAACAACAATCTACTTTTCCTTGTAAATCTTTTGTACTATGTCTACTTTCAGTGATTATTCTTATAGTCTGTAAGCATTAGACATATACTGAACTACTTGTAATATTACCAATGATAATAAAAATGAGTATTTCATATATTTCACTGAAAAAGATCCCTGAAAAAATTAATAGGGACACAAGTCTATGAGTTCCAGTGTTACTTTTTACATTCACTGACAATCTATAAGTCAGTGAATAAGCTTYCAGTTTTAGTTTTCATACTTGTAATTTTCTCTTAGATATAACTTAAGGAAAATTCTCAAGCAAAGACTGACTCATTGAAAAAGATCCCAAAATAGTAAAAAGGGACATGTACTTTATATGTAACTTTTCCTTACTGTTATTTGATAAGACAACTTTCTTTATGTTGTCTTGTTATCATCAAACAGGGGGAGATTGTTGATCCTCTCTCTMAGTGATTTGATGATAATCCCTTTTCACTTATACGTTGTATTTATGTTTCTGTCTTTTTAATTCCAGCGATCATCACTAAGCATGTTCAGTGATCGCTAAAGAATTTGTATTGTAATTCAATCAGAGACAGCGATACTTCAAGAAGACAACACTCACACCAAAGAACCTTCAGCTGATGTCGAAGACTGAAACTGAAGATTAGAGACTGACAAGTAYGTGATCTGAAGCGGTACTCAGTGATTACAAGCATGTCTACATATGTGTGAAGACTGCTCAAGCGTCAACGAATGCTGAAGAGACCTCAAGGTTATTCCAGCATTCAGGGATCAAAGGAAGCTTGCTTAGCACGATTGTTGTTGTCTTGTCCTTATGCACACAAAAGACAAACCCATACCCTTCTAAACGTTGGTAAGGTAAGGAGCCGATTAGTTGACTCTATTGCCCACCAACTTTAGGTAAGAATGTCTGCTCATGAATAGTGTTTTTATACTATTCACTGTAGCAAAGGACAAGCCTTCCTCTTAAGGCTTGACACGCACTCTAAACCTACCATACTGCATTAAATGAACATTTAATGCACTGGGTTTAAGTAAAGAAACTTTTTTTTACAGCATTTCTTTTCTCATTTGCTAAGATTCGTGTGTAACCAAAGATTGTTTAGATATGTTTTCTTACCTTATCTTTCCGTAAACAGTCTTGTAAAATTTGTATTGATCTTCTTTATCAATATACAATTTAAATTTGAAAATAGTGTGTTTGTATTCATCCCTCCACCCCTTCTACAAACTATTTTACTTATCTTGTAGACCCTCAAGGGACCAACATAATAAATAACCAAGTTGTTGATCACTTATCAAGATTACAGAAAGGATAATCAAGTTCTGGTGAAATCAATGAAAAATTCCCAGATGAACAACTCTTAATGTTGAATCATTCTACAGCCCCATGGTTTGTAGACATTACAAATTTCTTGGTTGTTGGGATCATACCACCAGAGCTAAACAAGAACCAAAGAAAGAAGTTACTCCATGATGCAAAGATTTATCTATGAGATGACCCATTTTTGTTTAAGTTAGGTGCTGACCAGATCCTTAGAAGGTGGCCATTTTGGTGGCCAAAGAACTGTAGCCAAAGTCCTACAATCTGGATTTTTTTGGCCTACCCTATTTCAAGATGTTGATAGCTTTGTCAAAAAGTGCAATGAATGTCAAAGGGTTGGATCCATCTCCCAAAAACATGAAATGCCCTTAAATGACATTTTTGAAGTGGAACTCTTTGATGTATGGGGGATAGATTTTATGAGACCATTTCCCATATCTGGAAACTATCGATACATTTTGATAACTGTAGATTATGTATCCAAATGGGTATAGGCTGCAACTTGTCACACAAATGATGCAAAAACAGTAGTTAAATTTTTGCATAAACATATTTTACAAGATTTGGTACCCCCAGAGCTATGATCAGTGATAAAGATACCCATTTTGTAAACAACATGATGAAAAGAGTTCTTGAAAAATATAACATAATCCATAGGTAGCTATGTTATTAACCCCAACCCAACTCAAACCCGAAATAGTTGAGTTGGGTCATAATTTTTAAAGGATTTGAATTTGTGGAGAATATTTTTTAGACCATTATAATTTAAGTGAGTTATAAAAATGTCACAAACCATCCAATCCAACCCAACTCCTACACCCTAAACATATTAGGTTAGCAAAAATTGTAGAATGAAAAAACTTTAGAAAAAAGAAAAGTTTGACCATAGTTATCAATTTATTTGTTTATTTGACCAAATACAACAATAACTCTTTTTTCAATGTATATATAATGTCTAATACCCAGTCACGTCTTGTTTTAAGGTATATTTTTATTATGATGTTACATATTTTATGTATTTTTTTTAGTTACATTAAAAAATTGAACATCGGATCGAAATAGATTAAACGAGATCGAAAAACAAATACTTTTTGTTCTTATTCTTCAAATTGAACTCTATTATTTTTATTAGTTTGATAGAGAACTCTTTATATGTTATAGAGTTAAATTTTATTAAAAACCCAAAATTGATTATAACCCAAGAAGCGTCCACAACACGTCTTATGTCCTTTTTTAGGATGAATATTATTCATGAATAACAACATATTCATGATGAATATGTATGTGTTATTCGTCATACATCACACATTAATGATTAACATGAACATATTATTTATCATAAATATGTGACTCATGATGAATATGTTACACATCCATATTCCTGATGAATATATAAGTGTTATTCATCATAAACCATACATTTATGATTAATATGGATCTATTATTCATCATGAATGCATACAATACTGATGAATAGTGTACGCGTTGTGTTGTGAATAGTTCTTTGTTGTCCATATATTACATATAAGTATAGATAAAGAGGGGGGGGGGGTGAATTGATGTAATATTGTCTTTATATCACGTAAAGGCCAATTATATAAGAAAATGTGAGCACAACTAAAAAGTTGATCTACAATTAATTTGTATGCGTATAAAGTTATATATGCACATGAATGATACACCTACCTTCACTTATGACGACTCATTGCTTATTTGGTACCCCACTCACATGCCAACACTTGAACTCTTGTATATCTCGTGTACCAAACCTTTAATTTCTCTATGTTCAATTTATTTGTCAACCAAATTCCACACATATACATTCAATTCCACACATTTCACTTCTTAATCTTGTTTACCTCTTTTTCATTATCTTCTATCAACTCAACAAAACAATGTTCGTTTACTACGTTATAACAAAATCACGTTTACAGGACATCTAAAGTGTTCTAATAGAATACTTTATACGACTCAAGTTTAAAGGAATAAAGAATAAAACTTCTATCGAAAAGTGTTACAATAAGGTTATAGGACGTTTTTGCATGTCGTTACAGGTTTTTTAGGATATTTTGTAAATAAAGTGTCGTGTTAGCTATTTTATATGACAATTTTGAGAAATGTCCTATAAACCCATCTTTTTATGAAACACTAGCGTTTATTTTCAAAAATGTTTTAAGGAACTTGTTATGACTTCGAAAAATGTCATATAAACTTATTGTAACACTTTTAAATAAGATATTTTATTATTTGATCTTTTAAACGTAAGTCCTATAAAACATTCTACTATTTAGATGTTAAGGGTCCTATACACTCAATTTTGTCAAAGTGCTAGTTGTTAACTAATAATTAGTTAGATGTTCAATGATATGCTAACTGATAAATTAGTCATGTTTGATAAAAAAAAATAACTAATAATTTCAACGATGACATAAAATAACCTAAAAATATCTTATGTAAGTTACTCATTTTAATACATAAGGGCATAATGAAGAAAAAGTGAAAAAATGTGGCTAGAGCTTATTGAAAAGTTAAATAAAGTAGCTTTTATGGATTATCGTTAGAAATCCAAAATTGATTACGAACTCGAGAACAACCCACAACTCGATACATGACATATTCATCATGAATATAAACATATATTCATCGTGAATATGTGATTCATGATGAATAATACTTTCATATTGTTAACCATGTAAATGTTATTCATAATTAATATTCATCTTAAAGGACACGTGAGACCGATATTAGGTTACTAATCAATTTTAAAATTCCTAACGGAACTTTTCTTTCTATATATAATGCGTGTATTAAGTTATAGATGGGAAAGTTAAGGATCTTATTAAGGTAGATTGTTCTTCCACCAACTAGAGTTACAGTTGGATAAGGGAATTGAAGAAACAAAGAGGGAATAGTTGAAATCAGAAAACAAAAATAAAAACTAAAAATAGAGCCATGGAGATCTCGTAGCCAGCTTAATTAGTTTCTATGGCCCCTTCTAGTTGACTTGCAGCTGATTCATCTAATAGCCATCTCTCAAAGAAAGTCAATGGAGGATTGTTAAAGCTTTCTTGTTTCTGAAGCTTCCTCTCATGCAAATTACATGCAGCCTTCTCATCGTACCCATACCCATCCCTCATCTTCTCCCAGCATCCATTATCGAACGAAAGAACAGATTCGAATTCGAAGTCATCACTCTCCACAACACCATTGATGAGGCATTCTTTGCCACTGGTTTCTTGATTACCAAGTTTCGTCATCTGTGAAGCTGTTGTTGATGATGATGATGAAGATCTCATCCATCCATCTAACAGTCTTGAGATGTTCTGCGTGCTCGACGCATAGATATTGGAAAACTGGTGAGGGTTTTTGGTGCTGGTGATCTTCGTGTTCGGGTGGGTTTTGCCTGTGGATATCAATACAGGAGGGTATGTAGTTGAATCGGATGGAGTTATTTGCGAATCAAAGGCGGTTTGCAACTTCTTGACCTTCTTTTTCAAGTGGGTGTTCCAGTAATTCTTGATATCGTTATCTGTTCTTTGTGGAAGATAAGAAGCTATCGCTGCCCATCTGCGCGTTTCAATTTGCCATACAGCTTCAATAATTTAATAAACAACGTACGTCGTAATGAAGTTTTGAATCTACATCCATTTCGTTAATCATACCACAACAAAAATTGATTTTATAAGACGCATAAATATTTCTTTATAGAGTGTGTTATAAGACTTAAGTTTATAGCATCAAAGAATAAAGTCTCGTGTCTAAAAGTATTACAATAAGATTATACGATGTTTTTTGGCGTCGTAACAAGTTCTTTTAGGACTTTTTAAAATAATCAAAAAAATTGTTACGACACCAAAAACAAATCCTATAAATCTATCGTAACACATCTAGATGTTGTTATATTCCTTAGTCCTATAAACTTAAGTCCTATAAGACAATCTATTAAGACACTTAAAATATTAATTGTAGGGAGTCGTTGTAAACTCAATTTCATCATAGTGCAATTCGACTAATCCCGTTAACAAAATTGATACGAGTAAACTTACTTGTTACCCAATAATGCTTGGAGATGAACTATCATCCCTTCTTCATGTGGAGTGAAGTTGCCCCTTTTGATACCAGGCCTTAGATAATTCGTCCATCTCAGTCTGCAACTCTTGCTGCATCTTAACAAACCTTAAATACATTCATGATTCAAAACCCAACAAACTTTGATCAGTTCCAACACATTATCATCATCAACATCATCATCATTTGCCACGTGATGTAAGATCGAGCGATTGGTACATCTTTCAAACTATTTAAACACATCAAAGAAAACCAACAAACCGAGTTTCTTGAACCAGTAAGTTATGAATCCATGTTCGAAAAACCCAAGTTTATTGGTTTACGAATCTGAGATTCAGATCGTATCGTAAAACGGGTTGATTTCGATGATCTTAGAGGGTTTTCATCTTTTGGAAAACAACCATGAAATTAAGTTGCATGCATGGATGTGCAGAAATTAAGGAAAAAGGTTTGATTTGATTTGATTTGGATATTACCAGTGTTTGTAGGCACTGATCTCCAGTTTCCAGGACCATGTTCTTGGATGTAAGACACCAAAATGATGTCTTCTTCAGGGGTCCATGGGCCTTTCTTGATGCCAACCTTATCACAGCATGGTGGCCTTCCCATACTTGCAAATGCAAATTTCCCCCCTTCAAAGACTCACTTTCTCTTTTTGATATATTTATATATATATACACACTTCTACACAAACAATCTCTTGGTATATTCTACTTACACCCCTATTGTTTCTGGGTATTTACACTTTTGACCTCAAACCCTTATTTTTCTCCGATACTAGTACTTCCGGTCATGTTCACCCCCAATCACGGCCGCGTGTAGCATCGACTCGCTCGAATAATGTAGGTTTTATCAACTTTCTAGCGATCATGTATGGTTGGAAGACTTGGGTTTATTTATTAGCAGCTTAATGAGATTAATGAGACTTATAATTTAGTCGGTTAACTATACATCATTGTTTGGTTGTAGCTTAATGATATAGAAAATGATTATTCAGTATCTTTTAAGGGGGAAAGCCAAGTTTTTTTTGTCAAACATGCCCCACCCTATATAGGTATTCATGGGTTGGGTTTATCGGGTTGAAGACATTTGAATAACTCAACCCAATGTTTGCGGTTTGAAATATATCAATCCAATCCAACCCAAACCAAACTGCAACTCAACCCAATCCAAACTGATAGTCGGTTTGGTCAGGTGGATGCTTTAGTATATCAAAATATTCTCCTCATCTTGAATATGTTGTTTTTCTCTACTCATAATTCATTTTTCATCATCAATTACTTGATACAGTTTATCCATACTCCTTAAATCTCAAATATATTACATTTAATTACTTTTCTCGATTTGCATATATATGTTCACATTTACTGAACATATATACGAAGAAGTTATATAGAGATGGAGAGAGAGATTGAAAATATATGTACATGAAAATGATACATAATTGTGTAATATGGTCTAATGTACATATTAATAGACTTAGCAATCATATTAAATCCAAAAAATAAAAGGATATCGGGTTCATCGGATTAGGTTGAGTTCATATGAAGGTAACTTAATTTCAACCTGATACGAGTGGTTGGAAATTTTACAACTTGATTATATATTAGGTTGCTTCGGGTTAGGTTATTTCGTCTTGGGTTGGGTTGGTCGGGTTTTTGAGCACCCTACTCCTCCCTCTCTCAATTAAAAAAACACACTCCTTCAATCTATGAAAAAAATGCTTCCAAACAAAAACCTTTAGATTTATACAAAGAGTTTAATTCATACATACAACTTTACTCATACGTGATATAATGGAAAATTAATTAACCAAACAGTCCCTTAAAGTTTGTTGGTAAATCAATTGAGAAGATCTTGGGTTTGCTCCTTGGAAATAATGGGTTCAATTTTTTTGGAGGCTACTAGAGGGTTTATATGACTATTAATTTTAAAGTGTCATGGAATAGTTTAGGTGGGATAGTTGAGGTGTACACAACTACAGTGAAAAATATATAGTTTGCTTGAGTGGGAAGGGGACATTAATTTATTATGGAAAAATATCAATTGTCTTTGTTATCCTATCCCTTATATATCCCAACAACCATCTTAAAGCATTTCATATTATATATATATATATGAGCTTAATCAAATAATAACTATTTAGTTTGTGGTAACTGTAAGATAAAATAATAACCAATCATTTAAAATAATTATCATCATATTTTAAATAATCATAAAGGGTAATTTAGTAAAAGAAAATTACAACTCATGTTTATATCTTTCCATATACCAGACTCTTCAAATATTTTCATATCTCTTACCACTAATCAAACCAAAAATTCTCTTTTTTTTATGTTGGCAACCATGGAAAGGAGTCGTCAAAAAAGATCCGTAACCGACGCGGAAGGAGGAGATGAGGTGACGAAAACGTGGGTGGTTGATCAGTAATCGGCCATCAGGAGGGGAAGATTTACGTTTGGAAATCAAAGATCAAGGACCCAAGAATTCATAAACGCATTGAAAAACACCAACGTGAACTACATTATTCGAGCAGATGATGACAAAGATATAGATATATCTGGTTTCTAAACCCTCCTTCCCTCTCTGGTTTCAAATATGAGTTTTTCTTGGTTTCCATCCATGTTTTTAAGGACTTTTCTAGTTTGAACCCTATGTTTGAGGCTATTGGTTTTCTTTCTTTCTTTTTTCTTCAAATCTTGATGTGAGTATCATAGTGGTTATGTTTGATATAAAACTCATATAAGATTAAGTCTCAATCCATATTGAAGAGGGTAGCACAATGATATCACAATGGGTATCACATTAGTATCACAATGAATTTGTGTATTAGAGTTCTTAGGTATCACAATTGTATCACAGCGGGTTCAGTGGTATCATAGTGGGTAGGACGTTATGTTTGTGTCTTACTGTTAGAAGTTCTTAGATATCACAGTGCGTATCACACTAAAGGTCGTTTGTATGTATCTTTTCTTTAACAATGTCGATGTTTTAGGTATCACATTGTGTATTTTGGTGTTCGCCGAAATAAGTTCACTGGAGGTCGGAGGTTTCTAGTTGGAGGTCGGAAAAGGGGAGATGGGAGATGGGAGATGAGAGAGGAGAGTTTTAAAATAACCAAAATGCCATTTAATTAAAGTTTTAATTCGAAATTACCAAAATTATCAATTTTCTAATGTTTTCATTGATTTGTGGTTGACATTGGATCTTACGGTTATCACAAACTAACCCGTTCTCCCTTGAATAACCCCTTGTATATATATCTAACTATATTATAAAACATTTCACAAAAACTCTTAAAATTCATTTTTATGCATAATGTACTGTTTATTGATGCATATTACTTAAAATTCAAGATTACAAGTGATTTTACGTAAGTACAACTTACTAAAGCTCCATTTTTAAATTCGTGCAACTAACTGCAAATAAACATAATCAGATACAAGATAAACATCTATTTTAAATATAGAAAATCTAAAATGTAATTAAGACAATCACTGATTTTCTAACAGAATGTTTAATTATTATCTTTAATAAAAATTATATTATTAAACCAAAAATAAATTACTTTGTTATTAGACTTAAATTAAATTATAATAAAAAATTGAATTAAAGAACTTACAACAAAAAAACGAGAACTGTTAAATAGTTAATTTAATACCAATATCGATTTTATTTTTTTTAAATTTATATTTCATTAAAAAATAAAAACATTATCGCTTTCTCAAAACTACATAAAATCATATTATATCGATAGAGACAAAGAATAAAAACTAAACATTAAGATGTAGATTTATCTCGCTGCATTGCACGAGTACACTTCTAGTGTGTGTGTGTGTGTGTATATATATAGACTAGGGATCATGTGAGACCAAGAGTTTTTTGTGAGATCCGTAAGACCAATTCTCAACTCTTGGATTAGATCTACAATCTGAATATTCATAATCACAAAATTGCCGTGAGACTTATCAATAATCACAAAATTGCCACCGTGCAACTTTAGACCATTAGATCATTAGCTTATAAAGTTGATCAATGAACATAAATTAGTCTTACGGGTCTCACGAAAAACCCTTG